GTAATACGGCGTTGTGGCTCGAGTTCGGTACGGATTTGAGCATTGATTTGATTTGCTCTGACTGGATGTGCTCCTCGCAGCTTCTTGTAAATCTCTTTTGCACTTTTTGATACTTTTTGCGTTTCTCGCCAAGTCCGTCCATGGCCTTGCGAGGCCCGATAAGTGCTGCGATGAACGCGAAGCGGATCGCGCTTGCTGCAGTGCGCCGGACATTCGTCTTCTCCAGTTCATCTAGGATGTACTTGTGGACTTCTGTCGGACTGGCGCCTGCGTAGGCCCATTGTTCCGGGAGCTCGAAGTCAAGCCCCTCTCCAAATGCAAAGACCAGCTTCTCAAATGAGTCCATCCTGTCTTCCAGATGGTCTACGACCGCGAGAATGAACAGCCTACTGGCCACTTCTGCACCACCCAGAACAGCAAATGGAGGAGTCCCAGCTTTGGGGAGCCCAAACCAAAGAAGTTCAACAACACCTCATGGTAGGTGCGTCTCAACAAAAAAGGAGGAACCCACAAATCAAAACACCTGGTCTTTGAGAGGGCATGTGCGAAAATTCCGTCGTAACAAAACCCGTCGTTGTCGAAACCCATCGTTCTCGCCCCCGGAGAGACGCGAGAGACGCGCCTTCCGCCCCTTGCCCTCTGGCATAAGCGGCCCTGATGGGCGTGGAGACTTCTTGGATCTGGTGGGAGGGTTGCAGAGAGTTTTTAGAGAGGAACACCTGGACATGAAGGAAGGAATAGATTGGTTTAGTAGGGTAGGGATCTGTAGATTTGCCAAATTTTTGATGTCAAAACACTGTAAATCGCATGTGCCCTCTGCACACCGTGTGGATACTTTATGTTCCGTGCGGCATCAATTTCGGATCAGCGTGGAGACCTCTTACACAATCCTCCTCCAACAACAACGGATCCGTTACAATTTTTCGTTATTTTTTTTTTTCAACATGAAACACCTCGTGCAAGTGCACCGTAGCCACACCAAACACTCACTCACAACCCTTTATAACCCTCCCGTCCTCCTCTTGTGGGCCAGCCGCGCCCATCCGCCAGAGCAAGATCAGCTGAATGTCTGAAAGGGTTTTTTGGCACTGTCAGGTCCTGCTCTGTTGTCTATTTGTCCTTCTCAGAGTTGGATAGGCCAACAAATGTAGGTTCACCACTCCCCCAAGGTGCGTAAATCGTCTGACTCTGAGCGGTTCTGTATAACATGCTGTTCTCTGCCAACCGCTGAATCACCCTTTGCTACCTAGTTGGCAATGGGTGAGTGACGATCAACTGGCCAGGATCATGATGTTTCGCCTTCAGCGACCAGCATCCAGCATCTACTTGTTCTTTTTAGAAGGGACACAACCTCAAAGGGAAACAACAAACGGTAGATGTGGCTGACACAAGCCCCTGCAAACTTGGAGCACTCTCTTCTTCCTGTGGTCGGAGCCAAGTCAGCCAGGACCAGCTCGGATCCGCTCCACGCGCACACAAGCCTCATGGTTTTCATAGCCATCAACGCTCAGGACACGCAGGCACATCATCAAAAGGGATCCTGCTTCAGGAGAGGAAGCTTATGTGAAAAGCTACTTTACTTCAAGTGGTCCCCACCCTAAAAGGCAATTTGGAGGAAGGCAGTGCACATGTCTCGACAGGCTAGCCGCAGGCTAGCCTGACAGAGGCGGACATGTGGATTGACATTGTGTTCTGACGATTGTTGTGGCATCAAGCTTGGTTTGTGCTCTGACACATCTGCCCACTGTGATTTGGCGCTTGCCTGTTGAGGTCCTGCAGTGCCCACTGAGATCTGGAACTTGCTGTTGAGGTCCGGTATAGGCCCACTGTGATCCGGTGCTTGCCTGTTGAGGTCCTGCAGTTCTCACTGTGATCTGGTGGCTTGCTGTTGAGGTCAGGTAGTGCCCACTGCGATCTGGTGCTGGCTGTTGGGGCGAGGAGGAGAGAAGGAGATATATAAATTCTTATCAACCCTCACCTGACAGGTGGGGAAGAACACGTAGGAAGAGAACACCTTTAGAGGGACCCATCAACTGGGCCCTACTACACAGGGTTCTGACTCATGGCAGCAAAAACTCCTCAAAAGCACCGAGATTGTTCGACACTTCAAACGGGCGTTTCGCTCTGTGGTCTTTCCAGTCGAATAGCAATTCCTTTATTCCTCAAGTCACTGCCTCCCACCAAACACTCCGCAAAGCTCCGCAAACTTGGGTTAATCTGTCCATGTCGGAGTGGCCCACATGTGTTAATATATGTTAATATCAAACAAAGGCTTGCCCCAAAACTTCCAAAACACCATCCCTGTAGAGGCCCGTCGGCTCGTTGTTTCTGAAAGGCACGAACTCCAAAAATGCCTTTGGGCACTCCCACTCAACCCCCATAAGCCGAAAATTGCCATCCCAATCCCAAGGGTGTTTCCTTCTCAAATCCAGAGCAGCTGCATACTTCGTTCGGTCAAGCACGGGCGAAGATTCCGCGAGTGGCGTTCTTTCTCCGCTCTTCGCTTCGTGGGAACCATCGATGCACTAACTTGAACTATCCCAACCTTTGTATACTCCCAAACAATCCAGACTGCTTGGCAGATCCCGCCGGGTCAACCACCCCAGATCAACGGGTCACCGTGACCTGTCTGGGACACTTGACATAGACATAGACCAACAACTGCGCAAGGTCTACAAGGCGGGACCCGTACATGTGTTCACCCGACATCATCGATGGACACAGATCAAGCACCAGAAACCCACCAAACGGCAAGCATCAGCAAGAATCTGGGTGTATGTGTGCGTGTTTGAATAGGGAAACCCTCCAATGACCACTGAGAAGAGCAAACTAAAACCCATTGTTTGGGGGCCTCTCTTGTTCCAGTCCTGGATTCCAAGACCAAGACACCATCAGATCTGGCTTCTTCCAATCTACTTTTGATACCCCCGTACAAGCAAGGACATTTGTACAATCTCAAGAAATCTCGACGGATTCCAGCTGGACTCAAAAAAATCATGTTGGTGTGTGTTTGTGTGTGGATCTCAACTCTATCCAAAATACGATCTCAGGACGTACTTTGGAACCAAAACCAGGAACTTCTTCCAACCCCGGAACCAAACAAAATACTGCCCAACCAAGCGATGGCGATGAAGTCGCGCCGATGGCGATGTCCTCCCTTTCGACTCCACGCGCCGCGATCGAAACGCGATTGGTGCGGGCGATGGAGCATGGGATCCCAATACGTTGAATATATATTTGATGGTTCTAAGTTCTTATGCTTTAATATGTTCTAATAGTAGATTGAAGATTGTGAGTTCATCACAAGGACAAACGTGTTGCTGCGTTGTTGCTTCTTGAAAGGTTCCAAAGTGAAAAGTTGTTCCCCTTAGAATCCTGCAAGTTTTTCTTATTACACAATGCAGTTAAAATAGATTGAAAGCGGAGCGGGTGACAATGACCAATCGTTGAGTTGCTGGCTTTCTGATTCGACAGCGGCTGATGCACACAAACGCTTCAAGACCCTGTATATAAAAAGAAACAATCAATGCTTCCTCCTGAAGCTATAACACAATAACAATGTAATTAGTCTTGTCTCACATATACATGAATTAGGCAGCCGGCATATAGGAATGGTGTTTTCGGAAACAACTGCATGGCGATTCCATTCGCCGGTGAGGCGGTTCCATTCGCCCACATCCTCCGCATCACTGTTCGCTTCGCTCCACGGGAGCCTTCGGATCTTGCCACCAGGCGGTGAAAATGGGAACCGCTCGGGTGAAGCACGCGTTGTGAAGCCCCATCTAGCCAAGCTTGAAACACACGTCTGATCCCATAATTCCATTGGCCCAAGGTAGTTCCAGCCCCAAGTCGTGCATCCCAGGAATTGGAGGTAGTCTTCCCCAGAAGAAATTGTGGATTCCCAACTTGAACTGGTTTCCTAAGAAAAGGATCCAGGTAGCTTCTCAGGTCCAACCCTTTCACCAAAACTGACACCCGTCATCAACATTTCACCCACATGACCTGGATTGATGACCAGACGTAAGGCATATATATATAGTTATATATATATATATGTACACCAAAAGATTTGTTCCAAACGTTGCAAAAGGAGTGCTTAATGACGCTTAATGGCTTATCTGAACACACTTAATTAAGGCCTAAAACATTCAAGCAAGCTCAAGTTTTGCTCCTTCCCCAAGCAAAAAGTGCTGCAAAGGAAACATTAGAGTGCAAGTGGGGTAAAGTCAATTTATATTGAATTGGGACAATGTATAAAAGGATATAGTTTGTGTTTTTAATGTCCTCTTGCAGCAAGGATGATCACACATCTCCCACTATTCCCTATGTGAATGTATCCGGTCCCATTCTTCCCACGATCCACCTGGCTGTCTTTGGGCAAATCCTTTTAATGAAAAACGATAGCTGGGCCAAGCTCTCAAAGCTCCGGAAATCGAAGAAGCTCTGCAAGCGCTGGGTACATTCGGATCCATCCCAAACCACGATCAATATGTTTGAGAACTGGTTGAACAACTTGAGATGTAGAACCATTTTGACAGAAGGGTTAATGAATCAACACTGTCATTGGATTTGTTTTGGGCTCTTTGCATGACTTGCTGCAGTTTCCCCCCCAAATCTGGCAATCTGCCCACCCAGTTCCTAGACGTGCTTGGTAACATCGAATCCACCCATCAATATGGGGTGTTAATAACTTACCACCGACAAGAGATGAATCAAGAACTGAACAAGTGTTCTATCAACATTATCAACCTAGGGAACCAGCTGCTTTCAATCCAGCTACCAAGGGCTCAGTTGACACATATATAGCATTATATATATAAATATAATGATAAATATATATATACATATGTATATTATAGTTGGTATGTATATATATATATATACAGTGCCATTATATACCTGTCTAGACTATAGAGCCTGCAGCTTGACTCGCCTTTCAAAGCAACGACCCAAATATCACCTCTGTCCATCGATCTCCGCACGGCCCGCCCGAAGCCCTCTCAGATCTCGGGGGCCTCAGCTCCGCAACGACACGGTCGAAGTGCTGGATTTCGCTGCCAGGAGGCGACTTTTGTTGTTCAAACGCAGTGCTTTGATGTTTTCTGAAGTACGAACTGAGATATTCATCGACTGATATGGACTGCATGGAGGTTTTCATCTCACTCCGAGCTTGTCATCGAACTCCGTGGGAACCCTCCGGCTTTAGTCTAGGAACTCTTGGAACCAGGGAATTTTGACTGCAAAGCTACCCCACACAAAAGGCCTATGAAGGCCTATGTAGACCGACTTGTCCAGGGCTCCTCCTCAACTAGTTGGTCTGTCGATGTCTGGAAGTCTGGAACAGGTATCTCAGCACATCTTGCTGGGCTTCTCTCGCAACCAGATCTCAGCACAACCAGGGCCTCCCCACGTTTCGCTACCAAACCTGGGAGCCTGCAAAGCCTGGACAACATATAGAGTATAGGGGCGGACCCATGACCTCCCTAAGCCCTAAGATGCTCTAAGTCTGCTCATGTTTATTTGTCTATTCCTAAAGCATCCACTTCAACTTCAAGTCATCCCTGGCTGGTGCTCTCGAACCCTCCACAGTCAACCTCCAAATACCTGCCCCCCTCCGTGCCCCAATTGGGCCCCCTCTGCCGAGACCTTGAATCGGCAGTCTCGGTCCTGGTTTTCCCTCCAAGGTCGTCGATCAGGTCGAGTGGCCCATCCCTCCCACGCACGGCCCAAGATGTTTGGATCTGTCGCTTGACGGATGAGGCACTCGGCCTGGAAATCAGGGAAGGCGACGTGAGCCGAGCTGGAGCTGTTCGAGCGGGAGCCGGAGCAGGGGTGTCGGGGGAGAATGTATTGATGTGTTACATGATATATGTTTAACTGGTTGGATTGGGACTCCCTTTTCTCTCTTTTGGGATCGAGTATGGGCCCTACTACCTTCAACTAGCCACTTGAAAGTCTGCAACAGAACCCTTGATGCACAGCAACCGTTGAGAACAAAGGTGATGACATTGTCATCAACAAATACACGCTCGAAATATCTTGTGAGCTTTGTTGTGGATCTTTCGCTCAGGGTTTGAACAGCATCGAAAGGGTGTATTTAAGTGTATAACGAGCATATCAAAACCTTCAGATCAACTCCCAATAGGCTGTCTGTTGTGCACAGGGTTGTAATTGTGATGTTGATTTTGGATGGCAACATGATCTTCCTCCCAAATTCTAGGCGCTATATATAATATTGTAATATACTGTATACTGCATGCAGCCACATCCGCAGAACATGTCCGTGCCTGCTCTGCTGCTGTGAGCGCTTCTCCACGCTGGTAGATCTGTCCGGGGGTCGGAAAGTCCCCAGTAGAGGACTCAAGAGGTCTCCGGACAGGTCGGGGTGAGTCGCTCCGGTTTTCGCGGCCGGAGTCGCTCATGGTTGGTGGCAATGGCGGATTCCAAGCAGACTTGGGCAAGCAGCAGGTTGTTTTTTTCACCAAAGAAGAATGGATAGGGACTGGTTTAGGGTCATCTATACAACCTGCTGGCTGCCGACTTCACGAACAATTTTGGTTTGGATGGTTTATATACACAATATCTCTGTCATTTCGGGTGGTGCAAACTAACAACTATACACTCCCTGAGACAATCATGGAAGCAAAATTGTCTTTTGTTTGGTATTCATGGAAGTGCGAAGTCTGAAAACCTGGACCAATATGGCAGTCAGGGAAGCATCTCAACAATACCATAGAAGTCACCCGGAGAGTCCAAAGTGCTTAGATTTTAAGTTTGTTGTGTTTTTTTGTTCAAAGGTTTGTTCAATTCCATGCCCACCCAACCTTCAAAGCTAACATGGCAGCTACGTAATGGGCGATCAGTTTCCATGATAACTGATAACGTTTCTTCGAGCTCAAAATCTTCTCGACTTGATCAACTTCTATGTCAGGTCCTGTTTTCTGTGGAACCATCATAGAATACATTATCCTTGGCTGCTAAGATTGTTGAAAGGAGAACAAGGCAAAAAAAATCAAGACTTGCTTAAAGGTATGTTAGCTCCTGACATGCTGCGACCTCCCTGTCCCCCGGCCATCACTATCCGAAAAGAACCAATCCCACACATTGAACACGAGTGCCCCATGAAAACAATCGCAGGAATCCGCAAATGTCTCCAACTTTTCAGCTTGAAGATGTTTAGAGTGTCAATGTGCGCGACTTTTCACAGTAGCTTTTCAGGGTGAATCCTCACATGTTTGTGTCTCGGCATGTCTTGGCCAAACTGCGCCTCACGAAGCATCCACAAATCTGATCAACTCTGGGATCGATATCCACAGGTGACTCCACAGGTCTCAACAGAAAGGTAATTATAGTCGATCACCCAAGCCTGGCCTTAGCTCTCTCAGGTTCCTGGCGATTGGAGATCGAGCGAAGCCGCGGTTTGTGGCATGGCCTGTCCTGAAGATGGGGAGGTTAAAGCGAACGAGAGGTCCAGTGGAGGAGTAGAGTATTTTCATGAAGGAGGTGGAGGAGTAGAATATTAGAATAGGTTTTTGTTTGCTCTTCAACCCCCAAAATTCAGGTGCCGAAACCAACTATGTGGCCCATGTGGCCGGTGTTGCCTCTGCATGTAATTTCCACAGCATGGCGTCGCAGGTACAAGTAGTATCATCAAGCAACGACACGGCGCCAGTGGTGTCCATACGTGACAAGTATTGTGGACCGGCGGCTCTGAAAAAAGTGCCACTTAACATCAAATAACAACATGATACAACATGTGGTAGGTCTGGACATCTTGGTGACAAAGGTTGGGCAATTCATATCGAAGGGGATATCTTTTCTGTTTGTTTGTTGGGGTCACTGGTGGAAGGTATTTCGATGATCCACTTAGAGGTTCTTCACGTGAGGTTTTATGCGTTCTTCTGGGCGTTCTTCAGAGTTTGCGTGTTTCTACGGAGGATCATACACAGTGGACATGAATCAACAGTGGACTCCTATACATCAATGTCAATATAGATCTTTCAGTCTTATTGTACTCTTTCTCGTCGAAAAAAAAAAAAAAACATGCAACAACACTGCTTTATATATGCTAGCTGATCAGTTAACAACTCCAAAGCCTAGATTGATCCGGGGGCAACAAACTAACCACCCATTTCTGTCTTGGTTGCGTTTCTTTTCATGCGTCGTTTTCTTCACCACAGAGTGTTTTATGGTGCCTCCAAGCCGGCGACCATGAGTTCCAAGGGTTGGGTGGAACGCCTGGCGAACTGCTGTGAGGTCGAACAACCGGCCCTGGCCCTGGCTGGGTAGACTGGTAGACTCCCGTGCTTCCGGGTCCAACTGGGAGGTCTTCCTATGTACAAATTGATTCACATCAGCTTGGGGTGAGTTGGGCGCAACAAAACTGACTCAATAATGTGCCGCCCGCCGGAACGGCGCCTTTTGGTCGCAAAAAAAAAGAGATTGAGGTCTTCGGACCGTGACTATATATCGTAACATATCGCCATGACTGCTCGGACCTCAAAAAGCCCTAGTATGCTGCTCACCTCGTCTCCTTTCATTGGGAATTTCATCATGCCGCTGAACTGCCTGTAAATAATTTCTAATCTTTAAATGCCTTGTGCCTGTCGGATTCGATTTCCCAAGCTACAGTACAGTAGGTTGCCTTGCCCTGCAACCTTACAGTTCAAATGCTTCGGAGCTTGTCGTGAAGTGCAAGTGGAGACATGCCGGCCTCACGTGCTCATCGATTGTGCAGGACAAACGCCCAGAACTGAACGTGGGGATGCTGTGAAACCCAGCAAAACTGACCATGTGTCTAGTGTCGGGCCAATCGTATCAGCATCTTGTCATCTTGGCCTGAATCTCTGTTTTTTGATTCCTGGGGCTCTCCGGTCGGTTTTGTTTTCGAGAAGTGACTTGCCACCCGTATCGGGACACGATCGGTAGATGTACCAGTAGCTTGCTCCGCCTGCTCCGCCGCTCCGCCTCTACCAGTCAACGCATCGGTATCTCACACTTGATCGCAAACACACAGTGGGCACGGCAAAACGCGTTGGTCTCAAATACTTACACCAACTGTCCTCTCATGTCCTCTCGATTGAAGCAAAGCTCACACGGGAAAACACATGCACTCTAGTTGTGATATCTTCCGTCAGCTTCTTAGGGCTGGCTTCCTTCGGTCACAGTTGGCCAGAAAAAGGGATGTTCCCACACCCTTCACCTGGGAAGAGCGGCGATGGGAAGCGGCGGTGCACGTGTTTCTCGATTCCCGGCGCCCACCTGGCCATCTCCTTGACCCAGGGAGTCCTGAGTGAGTCGCGGGTTCAAAGGATGGATGGATGGATGGATGGAGGGATGGATGGATGGCTGGCTGGATGGATGGATGGATGCATGGGTCAATGGGTGGCCCTGATTTCACAGGTCCGAGCTCGTCCGTGAGAGGGTCCTCCACGTCCCACTGAAACGGATTGGAACGCCGGGATGGCCGGTATGGTCGGACCGTGGCTACGATGCATCCCGCTACTGCGTCGGACCCGGGTTCGGCAGGCCAGTTGAGGGGATGAACTATAGGACGTGAGCCGTTCATACACCAACTCGGTGTTAAACCGAAGTCATTGGCCAGTCACCGTTCTCTTTTGTGCAGCGCGTTTGGGGTGTTGGCCCAAGTCTTGGGTGGCCAAATGTTCTAGCAAAACACAGCAAAAACATAGAAATAGACATGTTCTAGCATAATACAAATTCTATATTTAGCAAGTCCAAGTTCTTTGACATGTCCGCTCATGTCAATAACAATCCATAATCCCGTGACCTTGGCACGTTTGTTTCTTTCCATTCATCCCCCTCAAGGACAAAGCACCTTGCAGGAACCCAATAAACCGTGAACAGTTTGAACAAACCCATTCAAAACATGTGTCTGTCTGCATCTTCGCCAAATGGCTAAGTCTGCAAGCATCTTCGCCCCTGCAACCTGCAGTCCCTGGAGTTGATTCACCCATGACACACGAAAGCAAACAAATATAGAACATCTTGTGTCTTCTTTTTGACCCGAACGTTCTGGGTTCACAACGGTCGGAATTGGTGTGGAACCGGTGACCCACGGTGCCTCACCGGCCCACCGGTGATCCCGACTCCATGGGACAACGGAGATCTTCGATCAAGAGTCGTGACCCAGGTGACCGCCAAAGCTGGGGATGGTGCCAGACTTTTGGGGAGGATGGCCCTCATATATATATATATATATAGAGACTACTTCAAGTCTACAATTTCAGTCAATGAACACATTTGATACCCTATGCCAGCCATATGGGATCTGGTCCAAATATCTTCTTCCAAAAATGGCTGAAAGTCGTGTTCACATGGGCGCCCGCTGCATATTCTTTACTTTTGGCACACACAGCTGGTCAATGAAGGAAACATTGACCAACCAAGTATTGGCGCCAAGTTGTAAGAGGCGTCACTAGCGCTGCACCGTTTTCAGCTGGTCTCCGAGCTTCAAGCCATGCTTGAAACAAAAGACACGTTGCAAGTCAGCCTCGGAAGGGTCCACGCTGGAATCTGGCAATGTATGCTAGCGCGGATCTAGCGCAGTGCTAGCGCGCGGCTAGCGCATTTTTCAGCCAGCCACTTTTCAAAAACCTGACGACGTTCTGAACATGTCCTAAGGAAAACACTAGCGTCACTAGCGCAAGTCTACCGCAAACCTAGCGCCCAGCTGCAGAATAGGTGTGTTTAGCTGGGGACTCGCTACATAATCTAATTGAAACAACAACATCATAAGCCACTTTCGACCCCTTAATCTATGTTGATCTATTTTGTTTGATTATAGACTTTTGGCCGGACTCCATATACATGTATATGCCATATTATGGATTCTCTGTATCCATGTCACTGAATTCCACACACCAATGGTCCGTCCACATCCTTCCCCCGTCCGAGGACTTTCTCCAGGTCTCTGATTGTCCGTCAACTCTTCTTTGAGAATGGACGCAGGATGCTGGCCCTGAAGGACGCTAGAGATGCGAAAGGCGGCCACAATTCGAAAGCGACGCATGCGAAAGCTGCCTTCTGGAACGAATCTGGGAACATCTAATCAATTGGGCAATGTCGACAACTGTGGATCAACTCCTGATCAACTTCCACCCTAACCTCGCCTGCAAGCGCAACGACAGGAAGTGCAAGCGCCTCGGTGAAACAACCACCCCGCCGGTTTGGTGAGTGTCCCGCGGTGCTCAGCGTGATCCCATTCATCCAACACAGGAACTCATAAGCCCACACAATGGATTGGATTCCAAAGTCTCAATTCTTCTTCAATCTGACCGATATCCTAATGTGAGATCACGGAACAAGAGAGGCGAGTTGTAAAAGGTCACGGAACTTCAAGAAGTTCACTTTGATCATGAAGAAGCTATAGGCTATAGGCTACAGTCATTAAACACTTTAAACTAGTACTATATACTACCCATACTACCCAACGACCTTCTGAGAACTCTGCGACCGGGATCGGGACTGCTATACGACCCCCTGAGACGTGAGGTAATGATAGTATGTTGTTCCAATCGTCTGAGAGGAGTCCAAGGAGTTGCACTCCCTGAAATCAGGAGGTGGAACAGTTCGGCCAAAAAGCACAAAAACTCCTTCACTTGCCGGGGGGTCTGTTCAGCCACCGTGAGGACGTCTGAGTCCAATGAGTTACGCCTGTTTGTCAAGCCCGTAGCATCAGTGTCAGTGCTCATTTTCAGAATCCACGTCTCTCCGGAACTCCAAGGGCCTGCCTTCGACCAACGAGAAGCTTGTCGCAGCGCACAGAGCGTACGCAGTGTTCTGTAGGGGAAATGGGTGCGCTTGCAGTATACCCAAGGGTTTTAGGCACAATCTGGGCCCAAATCACATAAGGATTCTTCACCCAAATCACCTTCAGATCTAGGGCTCAAAAATGCTCAAAGCATGGAACTCTTTCAGGTGCTTCGGCCCTACCAACCACCACTTCTCCGCAGACCCAAAAAGACAACCACCCAACCACCCACCCAACGGCCCCACCCGGCCCTCACGGCCCCGACCGCCCACGCGCCCCGCCACCCGGCCTCTTTGGCAGGAAGTCCAGATCTGCGAAGCCACGGCGCCGTGACCTCGAAGGACCGGACCCCAACGACGTCGATCGACGGACAGTGTCTGTGCTGCGCTCAGCGGCTCAGTGGTCCAATCCAACAAGGGCTCTCGGATGAAGATCGCACACCTTGGAGCCAAGGGCGAAGGGCGAAAGGATTCGAGTCGCAGTTTTGGAGCTCTGAGGATGAAAGGTCTCTGAGGGTGTGCACACCGGATGGACGTGGCACCTCGTGGCAGGTGCGACTTGGGACAGTTTATGGTAGCGACTGCAGGTTCCAACCTCCTGAGAGGGTATGTGGAAGATGAGAAAGACTAATTACGAGCATTGTGGTTCAGGAACCATGCATCAGTTGGATGCACAAAAAAAATGTTGAGCAGTGCCCAATCAATCACTGTAATAATTGACCTTGAGACTACACATATCCCCTGTGGAATTACCGGTGCACCTCGGGACGTGATGTTATATCGTGATAAAACGAAAAGCCAGGCTCCGGAGTTTATTTGGATCCGGGGATCTACAAATCGTCTTTCACATGCTTTCACCGCCTGGGGCCAAATGAAAACCACCCTACGTATATATCGTATGCGTTTTCCTTGTCTTTTCTAGCAGTCTTTTTGATCGACGTCCTGGCCTGCTTGTAACCAAAGATCGTGTGACTTGGGATACCTCAAAAACAAGATAATATATGTATGAGCTTGTGAGTAAACATCCAAAATTACCCAAGAACTGTCGCTGTGTGAACTTTACCCAATTCACAGCCTCCTTCTGCGTCGAGTTACGGCCTCGCGCGTGCCGAAAGCGCCGATACCTGGCGCCCCGGACGCATCCAGGAGCATGGCACTTTTGGCGCGGCAAGTGCTTAAAACCTGGACAGTGCGGCAAGTGCCCAGGGCGACCAATTGAGTGCCACAAAAAATATTGGTCTTGGTGCTAGCATGTGCTAGACTGCTTTTGTTTTCATGTGCTGCCTGCATCCAAGGTGTGATAAAGGCTTTCCAAAGGATGCTTGGCAGCAAGTTGAGTGGCAAAGTTTCTGCAACTATGCAGCATCACTTGGGGAGGACGGGGCAGTCCGAGCAAGCAGGTCAGGGGCTACAAGTTATGAGGCTTTCCAGATTGTTTGATGGGATGTGGTCGGATCTATCTAGGTCGGACCTTTCTATGCATATGTCTAGGATTCCAACAACATCCCACGGTTCTGAGGATGGGCGCTTGAAAACCGGTCCTTCTCCATTTCCAAGGTCGTGTTCGGTAGATATTGGGTTCCTGTCTGGAACTCCAAGAGACCTCTAAGTAGCCCCAAAGCTCAAACCTCATGTCTCCGTGCAGACGAGATCTCGGCGGCCTGTTCCAAACTATCTCGAAAGGTGCCATGCCTGGCCATCCGGACATCGCTGCCCACGGGACGAGTGGCAAGGTCGATGTGGTAGGTCCTTATCGAGTTCCAGTATGAGGGCCCAAAGGACATGGTGCAAGGAAGGGTGAGGGTATGTATGCATATATATATATATGTGTGTGCTTGTATTCTACCATATAAACTAAATGGTCGAACATCGTCCAGATTTCTGACCATCCCACACGTTGCACAACGAATTCTCAGGGAGTCCGGTTTTCTCAACATGGTTGAATCCTGAAATGAGACGATGGCAAGGTGCGGCTTCGTGGAATCAGTTGAAGCTTATAAGTGCGGCAAGTAGTTTTCATAGCATGATTTGCATGATGTGGCTGCAACAAAACGGTGCAAGGACCACTGTAGAGTGGTGGAATAATTAGCGATATAGGCAACTAGAACTGGCTCCTGGTATTTTTCCGGTGATGGTTTCAGCATACTCCAGCTGTTTCTCTACCACCCACGACTAAACCACAGACTACTCTAGTCAGTGCCAAGCTAAGCCACACCAAGGTGGTCGGGGATACAAACGGACTATACCTACTCACATTGAATATTAGTAACGAGAAGCTACTAGGGGCTCCTGGCATCGCTACTAGGAGCAAGGACGCTACTAGGTGCTCCTGACCATACTACTAGGAGCAAAGGACGCTACTAGTAGCCCCTCCTGAGCGTCCAAACCCATAAGGCCCTGCCAAAGGCTGCAGGGCGCTAAGAAGGAAGCTCGTCAGACCTCAGACGCAGGAGTGGAAGTTCAGTGGATGGTTCTCAACTGAAACAGTTCGCCTCACATATGGCCTCGAGTCCATGGTCATCTCACTGACTTGTTGATAATCATGGGTCCTACTCACCATTTTCTGAGCAGAAACCAGGAAAGCTCACTGGTGGCCGACATGTCTCGGAACAGGATGTCACTGACTGGTGTATCGACTATATATATTTAAAGCAAACAGTTTAAGCGAAGTGAATCGCAAGTTCCACTCGCATCCACAATATTCAACGATCTATGCAACCGATAATCAAGCGGACGTAAAGTGGTATTCTATACCTATAATTTGTGAAACCTACAAGCTCTGCAAATGCAACAAGAATCCTACCTACCTCTTGCGGTGTCCCGTCTGGAGAGTAGCCATTGTAGTTTGGGACATGCAGAGTTGATCCACAAGTAACACGCCCTGGTACACAACGGCAGCCTGGTACAAATAAAGAACAAACCACTCCGCTACTTAGAACAGTTCCATTCATCTCCAGTACCTCCTACAGCTGCTTGAGCTGAGGATGAACAGCGTACGGCCTCGAGCGGCCACAGTCTCTCTGTGTGCCTTTGCCAAGGCACGGAAGGGCATGAGCTCCGGCACCGGCAACAGTGCGCCGATGCCAAAGGAGTAGCCGAAGTCAATGGGCACCAACTGAACGAGGGACGGTGTGGATGGTGTGTAGGAAGATCTCCCATCGCCCTGGCTGGAGTCCACTAGTGTATTTTTTTTCCAGGGGGTCGAACTGGGAGGCATCCCTTTTGAACAACTCGCAACTGAAGGAGGGACGGAGAGGGAGGGAGAGGGAGATCTTTTTGATGGGTTATGACGGGTTTGTTGGTGACTGACCTCCATGCACCAAAGAAAGGAAGACTCGCTCTGATCCGTCATGCTGATAATTTATGTTGGGATATATTGTTGTCACACAAACAATATAAAATATACAATGGCGAACTTGCTGGAGGTGCCCGAGAATGGCCTCTTGCTGAGTTGCTGGGTTTCCTTTCGGAATTCTTGGGGATGGGGGCTGGGTTTCCCAAGAAGACGCAACAATGGTTGCACCACCACAAACCCCCTTATGTTGAAGTGTAAATGATGTGATCTCCTCAGACTATACATGATACATGATACATGATATATCAATATAAATATACCAGTAATTATTCTAAGTGGTGCAACGTGCAACCGCTTTCTTTGACATTCTTTGTCACCGTCACCGTCACCCCATCCATCCACTGCCACCCATCCACCCGTCGCCTCGGCCGTCCTCAAACAAAGGAGGTAGTTGTCCAAGTGCCTCGAGCGGAGGAGACGAGACGAGTCCATCGATGGAGGAGACGAGACATGGGCACGGTGCCGGAGGTCACCTGAATTCAGTACAGTGTCAGGTGCATTTGAAATTCTGACATATCCTTCTTGTTGCGGCAGGTGGACAGTAGTCCCAACATTGTACTGCATAGTTACAATCAAACATAAACGCACATAATTATATTTATTTCAGCTATTCAGCTGATCAAGCCATGAAACTCCAAGTGTGGCCTTGGTGATAACTTAGCAGCCCTCGCTTAACCCCCACCCAAATGTCCTGTGGGGAGTAGAGGCCATCAAGAGCTGTGGTTTGAGAGTCTCTCCAGAGCATTTCTGTATTAAACAAGCGCTTGGACCCGGAATGGTCGAGCAAACAGCAACGGCCGAACGGCTGAACTCCAAACCGCCGCCCACATCGGCCCGCCACAGCCGCTCGCTTGGTGCGCACGAGGCACCGGTCTCCAATGCCAAGGAGATAGCAGGCGGCCGAGGCAGCAGCCAAAGAGGCAGCAAAGCGCTGACGTGTGTGCCAGAAAGCCTGAAAACCCCTCGGGTTGGTGGTGAGACGTCCCAAGTAGGAGCAGTTGGTCCCAAGTAGGAGCAGTCTTTTAGATGCGACACATACACCAGTCAGTGGGCACAGCGCTAGCCATGCTACCAAAGGAACAACACATCCATCACTACATAATACTGCATTTTTGAGAAGCCTTCTTGGTGCTTTCAGTAGTCAATGTACAACTACTCCCTTCATCTCCCTTCATTTATTCATTTAATTTCTTACTATATTCCAAGAGACCTTAGAACAAACTCTCCTGAATAATGTGGATGATATTACTGTGCATACAAAGCATGTACTGACATACATGATCATACATGATATCCTGTAATGACCCATATACGTCCAAGATCGACCCTGGATCCTACGGATCCTCAAAACCGATCAACTCGAGCGCCTCCGGACCCACGGCGCTGCTCCAAAAGAAGGCCTGGAGCGCCACGGAGGAGCGCTCGCCGGCCAGCGCAGGGTGTGGTACGGAGCGCCGGGTGGTTTCCAGTCGCGGCTGGCCACAAGGGCACTCGAATCGCACCGGAAGTGTATGCGGACCCAAACACTCCATGTATGCCATATGTGCCAACATTGACCCCCAACACCACCCCAATGTAGGCATAATATATGGCAGTCCCATGGAGTGTCTGGGGGATGGATTGCTGCTTTGGATGAACATGGACTCAGTGCAACTCACGTCTTCGCCCACGAAACAACGTGGTCCGGTCGACCGGGGACCCGGGGGCTCCGCTGTCGGACCGTCCGTCAGGGAACCAACCCCTCGGGGATTTCGCCAGCGGAATCGCCATGGGACCAGCCGGCGGTTGCCCCTGTGGATCCCGCGGAAAAAAACAACTGCATCATGTTAATGTTAAGTGTAACATCTTGTAACATATTTTGGGTGTGTTTTTAGCTATCTCTGAATTGTAGTGGTGACTGAATTAATCCATGAAACGCATACTATCTGAAATCTGATGTTGTTTCGGGTGTCTTGCCAACATCTCCACCAGTTTCTGTCTTCCGGGGCACCAAGGCCACGCCTTCAAGGACGCGGAACTTGGCATGGCCGCCACGCAGCGCTGGAACCTACGCGAGTGACACGGGTGTGCCTACGTCACGGCCTTCGCACGCCGTGTGGACGCGGGCGCGCTGGCTGAAGTGAGACTTGGGGATGTGCACACAGGGAGCGGAGCCCAGCTCAGTGTCATCTAGCCACGCATGCTTATACCCAAGTGCTCATGTTTCCATGCTCGGGCCTGGTAGGTGTCTCGAACATTTATGAAGATTCTGCCCAACAATGTCCAGTTCTACCTGTTCAGATCCCTACCAGAAACAAAATCACCCCATCTGGACTCACAAACCCGGGCACGGTTGAAAACTCTGCGCGACACACGCACATACTCTCTCTCTCTCTCTTCCTCAGTTTCCATGTATGAAAAATACATAGGAACCAGGTAGCTTGCGTTACGCAGCTCGTGTTGGAGTTGAAACTGAATCTAACTAAAATGTGTTAATTCTGCCCTCAAGATCGTTTGGCTAATATACGTTCTGTAGTTCTGCAGGGTGATTTCTGGTCAAACCTCTTCTTCCTGAGGGATGTCGCAGCGAACCCCGACGCCGAAGTCTCTTCACCACCGTTGAGTCGGTGGTTGGCCCACCCAGATCCACACCCACCAGGCGCCCCGGGCGCCACCACCGCATCGGCTTTGGGCAACTGAGCGCGGAGAGCCCGCGGTGGCCCGGTCCATGTGGTGGAAGGTGGGGTGTCGCCATTTACTGAGTGGGGTCCCAAAAGCCCTGCGACATGGAACTCCGGTGAGCTGGATCAATCTGGCCTGTCAGGAAACATCTGTACATCTGGTTTCAAGATAGGTCGCTTAAATCCAAAAGGTTGTTGGATGGGGGAGTTCGTTTCTGCTATATTTAAGGTCAATTACCTGGGAATGTTAAGGAATGTTGCAGTTAGGTGAAACTTCAGTTTCAGAGTCAATTGGCAAGTGCATTTGTACTTAAACGGACTTCGACTTGTAACTTACTTAAAACTTAGACTGATAAAGTTGGTTCTAAATCTGCTAGCCTTTACAAGGTTTTGATTATAGATTGGATTCAACTTTATATAGTTTTGACTTGGTTCAACCTATTGGATCTAGGAACTAATATATAAGTACTTAGGTCTGATTTGTTGTACAAGTCAACTAACCAACATTGATCAACCAATATGGCAATTAAAATCATTGGTTTGTTTGTCTAAATTTAAGTTGCTAAAATGCAATACAAAAGGCTGTCATTGGCAACACTGGCAAGTGATAATGATGTTCCTTCTGTACAAGAATGCACTGTCATAAAACATATGACAGCCTTTGACGTTAAATATCATTAATCATTGACTATCTGTCATGCAGTTTTCTGACCGATAATGACGCTATACTTATTTAAACAAATGGTTTGATGTCGGAAAACATGTCAACTAATAAAATACCGAATGCTAGATTCCCTTAAGATCCGAGAAGCTCAAATCAAGAAGTGCTTCTTGGAGAAGCTTCAAAACAGAGCTGCCAGTGCTGTTTCAAAGCTTCTGAGAAAATCTCTGAGAAGCTCTGTTTTGAAGCTTCCCAGAAGTGCTTCTTGGAACTCTGGAAGTGCTTTTGGGAAGCTCTGAAATGAAGCTTCTGAAGATTCCTAGTTTTACATATGACAACCTTTTTTCTGGTGTGGTTGAAGTGAAACAGTCTTGCTGGTCTATTGCCAGCCAAACAGTGAAGCCTGTACATGCCTTCTTCAGGCTTTACTCATCTCTGGGAAGTTGCCTTCTCCAGGCTCTACTGCTGGAGTGTTGGGAAAGCTTGGTTCACCATCCAAGACATAAGAACTCTCTGTGCAGAGATCTGGCAATTGTTTTTGCCACCGCTGGCTGTGAAATATTGTTGCAGGGTGTACCCATAGGTTTCGTCCTTGTAGCACCAGGTGTCTTTGGGGTTCATACTTGTGAATTTGATGTCATCAAGTATATGGTCGAAAAGGTGCCACTTTGGTCTGGAGTGGTAGTGGAGGTGCTCATCTTTACTCACTGCAGCCTTCTCCAGACTCATCCATTGCTCCTTGAGCAACCTTCCACACCTCTCCAACCTTGGCAAGTCAGCCTTCTCCAGGCTTCTGTACATGTTGCTGCAAAATTTTGCAAGTTTTGCCACAGCCCTGTCATGTGCAGTGCCTTCTGCAGGCAACAAGGAATTGGCAAGCTCATGCAGGTAAGGGCAAAAGCCCCTGATATGAGCTGCCTTGCCTTCAAGCTCTGGGCTCTTTTTTGCTTTCTGATAATCTTTCACACTGAGCTTTTGCAAGCGCATGGAGTGAGCAGTGCCTTCCTTTTCATAGATGCTCTTGATCATTTTGTACAATTCTTTTGTCCTCAAGTCTTTGTTCCTGCCTGGGCAATACTTTTGGAATTCATGGATGCACTGTCCTGCAATGGATGAGGCTATGCCTTCATCCACTACATGCATCCAATCAGGCTTCATAGACTTGTTTGAAAGGTTTGCCAATTGGAAAAAGGGGCTGGCAGCCTTGCCCCTCTCTTCCAAATTGGCAAGCCAATCAGCCTTCTGCAGGCTCTGGGCCTGCCTTTCCTCCAGGCTTTGGGCTTTCCAAGTAGAGGGTGTAGCTTTGCAAAGCCAGCACATACCCATGTTGGTATTGTGATTGGGGGCACCATGCACTTTCACATGCCAGTCCCAGTCACCTCTCAACTGGACGACAACTGCCTTCTCCAGGCTTTGGCCAGCCTTTGCTTGCCTGTCTTTGTCAAGCTTCTTGCCATCATGCCTTCTGCAGGCTCTCTGGCCACATGCCAGCTGCTTCAAGGACCATGTAATCACTTTCATAATTTCTTGGTATGTTTCTTGGCCCAAAGAAAACTGCTGGTCCAAGCAGCAGATCAAAAATCTTGCGTACCCATTCTTTCTGGAACCTACAAAGTTGATTGTCCAATAGTCCAGGGTGGATTGGTTTTTCCTTCCCTTGACAGGGACCCCATCACCATGCAGGCCCAATGGGTACATTGAGTTGCCTTCTTCAGGCTCACCCAATGCCTTCATGGCTTCCCTCCATTCCCTTGCAAGCCATGTGCCTTCTTCAGGCAGCCCTTCTTGAAATGCACCTGGTTGGCCCAAGTACAAATGAAGCCAATCATGTGGGAGCAGGAAGGGCAATGCCACTTTGACTTTTTTATCGTTCTTTTTGTCCCACAAGGGGATCTTAGCCCAATACAAGGGTGCCCAATGGTTTTGCTTCTTGAGCCACCTCCTCCAGCTCCTGGATGCATTGCCATTGCAGCCTTCCTCAGGCTCTTTGCAGCCTTCCTCAGGCACTGCTTCGAGCTTCCTTTTCTTCAAGGGCTCTTTGCTGGACCCTGGCTGGTTCTGCCAGGGTCCTTTGACCTCCAGGCCAGTAGCCCTGGCCTGTGTGATGAGCTTCTTGCCTTCTTCTACAGAAAGCTTGTTTTTGCTGATCAAACTCAACAAGGTCTGTGCCAAATCCTTTTCAGGATTGGCTTTCTCCATCCTTGAAATGAAATGGCTGCAGGAGCATGGAAGGGCTTGAAGCAACCCAAACAATCACCAAACCTAGCCAGCCAACACCCCCCCACCCCACCCAAACTCATTTTTTCAGATTAAAAACCTTGGCTCCTGATGGGTTTTACCATCCTGTACAAGCCTTCTGCAGGCTCATGGTGCAAGTATGTACAGGCCTTCTTCAGGCTTTGCATTTGATGCCTCAGACTGTATGCCCTTCATTCCTGGCCCAAAGCTTGAGAGGAGCCCACTGCTTGTTCAAAGCCTTCAAATCTGCTTCAGCAGCTTCTTTGTGGACTTCCAACTCTGCCAAGGCCTTGCCTTCTTCAGGCTTGTATTTCACAGGAAATCCTCCCATGGTTTGCAACCACTTCTCCTTCTTGGCACCAAATGTAGCCAGACCTTTGTCTAAAGCATCTTTGTGCCCCTGCACAGTGGATTCTCCAGCAATTGGCAGGGAGCTAATGGTTTGCTTGAGCACTTTACCTTTGTCAAGGGCAGTGCCCAAGCTGTTGATTGCCTTCTTCAGGCTGCTGAAACATTTCTTGTAGGCTTCTGCCAGGACCTCCTCCTCACTAAGCTCAACAGCTTCTTCCTGATCCTTGCCTTCTTCAGGCATGGGTCTCCCACTGCCACTAGAAGGGCCACCACTTGGCTTGCCTCCCAGCATCAGCTTGCCATCTCCTGGCTGAAAGGCCAACATGGCCTCCACCTGCTCAAAGTTCTCCTGGTCCAGGTCCACTTTCTGCTTTGCTGCTGTTTGGCTCTCATTGGAGCGTTTTTCTTCTTGCATGGCAACATGCTCATAGTAGTAGAGCTTTTCGCAACAGCATCTGCCCACTTTTTGTTTGGGTGGGCCATGCTTGGCAAGTGCTCCACAGCTGCATCGCAAAGGGCTTCAAAATTGGGGGCATGGGGGTTGGCACCCTCAAGGGTGCCAACAGTGTATTTGGTCACCCAGCCTTTTTGTACCTTTTCAGTGGTCTTAGCCTTCTCCAGGCTCATTTTGTGTACTTGTTTGTGTGACACATCTGGGTCCAAAAGGAATTGTTCATAGTACCTTTTTCTTTTGGCAGCATGCCCAGTAGCCTTCTTCAGGCTTTGGCTCAAATGGGTCTTACCTGATTTGCTCAGCTTGGCAAGCTGGTTGTGAACATCTTTCCACACATCTTTGCCAATGGCAACCTTGCCTTCTTCAGGCTCCTTGGCCTTGCCCTTTGCCTTCGCTGTGGCCTTGGCTTTGGCCAAAACCTTAGGGGAAAGCTTCAGCTTCAGCTTAGCAGTTGGTGAAGCTTTGGCTTTGGGTGTGCCTTCTGCAGGCTTCTTTGGTGTGCCACCTGCCCCTGTCTTGACAGGTGTGCCTTCTCCAGGCTCTTCTTTCACTGCACCCATGGCTGCAGCTGGCCTCTTTTGGGGCGCCATGCTGGGTGTGTGTCCTAGGCCCTAAGGTGGTTTGTGAAAGGTGCCTGTGGAGCTGTAGATTGAAATGCTGATGGTGTTGGGGAAAATTGTGTGCTTGAGCACCTTGAACCTCAAAGGCCACCAATCATTTTCACCTCTGGTTTAAGAACCTTTCAGGCCTTTTTTTTAGAACTTTTCAGGTCTTTTTTTAGAACTTTCATGCCTTTTTTTTTGAACTTTTCAGGCCTTTTTTTAGAACTTTCAGGCCTTTTTTTTTTAGAACTTTTTATTGTGTTCCTTATAAATTTAATAAGAAGCAAATAAAAAGTTCTAAAAAAAGGCCTTAAAAGTTCTAAAAAAAGGCCTGAAAAGTTCTAAAAAAAGGCCTGAAAGTTCTAAAAAAAGAACTGAAATTTTCTAAAAAAATCTGGTGGTTGCCTTCCCCAGGCTTTGGCTTGATACCACTGAACCCCAAAACCTTCACCAAAGGGTGGCCACCAAGTACCAGACACCAGAAAGGGTAACCAGGAAGGGTTGCACCAAAACCCAAAAGGGTACCCCAACCAGACCCACCAAAACCATCCACCCCAACCCCTCCTTCACCACACCCTCTTTTCCTTTCAAAAACCTGTGCTCTTGATGGACTTTGCCATCCTGTACAAGCCTTCTGCAGGTTCTTTGTGGTGCTCTGCATCAGCCTTCTCCAGGCTCAAAAATCTACTGAACCATCTGTGTTTGTTGG